TTTAAGCTGCTGGAAGTTAGGAAGATTTACACTGCTACAGCACCCATAGGTGGTGTCAAGAAATGACATGGATATTGTGCTGATAATACTGGCGGTTCACGATAGGGCGCCTCCAAGAGTTTGCTACGCGTTGGCCAATCACAAAGCGCAAATTTTGTCGACCCAACGCGCGTTTGGCAAGGGTCGACAGATTTCGCGCGTTGTGATTAGCCAACGCGTTGCAAACTCTTGGAGGCGTACTATTTTGAATCGCCCGTATGAATAGACACTACACTCAGACAATTAAAATCCTGAATTGCACAAAACTATGTATAAAAGTTATTTCATGGGCTCTTAAATGAAAGGTATATATTTGACGTGAACGCAACTGTACTTCCCCATGAAAGGGAATAAGAGCACGACCGAAGATCGAAACAAAAAATAAGGCCACCGATTTACAATTGTGGCTGATCTAAACACAGGATATCTGAAAATTAACTTCTTTACAATTTAACGAGGCATGCCTGGCTAACGAATCAGGGGAGGATATTGGAGGTCGGGGAAAATATTTCCACAGGTTAACTTTAAAAAAAAACGGCCCTTACATAAACATTGTCACATAATTTTGTAACTGGCGACAATTCATTTCAGTCCTTTCAGATTGGTACGCATTCTGAATAATTTGATGCAGAGGCTGTTCTCAGAATGTACAGTTTGCTTGCGTTGAACGTTGAGGGTGTGCAGTGGTTCCAAGAACACTGAAACACACGCACGTGGGACGTGTAAGAGGAAAAAAAAGATGTTTCAATCGATTTAGTTTTTGGAAACATCGAAATGACAATGAGAACGGCAAGTCTGTTTCGTATAAGTGGGCCGAATAGTTGTTCGACCGACCGACTGAACCTGACTTGCCGTCGGAGAGTGTCACTTTGCCCTTGAAATTCATGGCCTCCGTCCCCGCTATCAGACCAAATTCCAAAGTTACCAACCACAGATAGAAAGGCAAATAGAACCGACAAAAAGGAAGCAGAATTCAACGAGTGTGTTATTCTCCAACACGTATTATTGCCATGTTCGGGGGTTTCTAGGCACTCCAAAGAGTGTGTGTGCCGCGTTTGGGGGTAAAACAAGCAATTCTGCCGTTATCACGAACCCCAGTAAGTATGGAGGGTCTTTCGCAGGAAAACAAACGAATAATACCTTTAAAAATTAGATCAAAATTGATCATTAAATCAACGTAAACGTGTTTCAGAGTTTTGTACTGAATTAAATGTTTTCCTATCTATGAGTACCATTGATATCATTTGATAAACACATCTCTGTGGTTCATAAAGACTTTCCTTGGACGAGCAGTCTGTTTTGTTTTTGTTTATTTGCGCTTGAAGCGCTCTTATGTCTCAAGAAGTGTAGAACTTCCTCATGCAAAGCTATCCAAATCCAAAAACGTGCCTCACTGAAAAATAATCCACAATTTTTACGTTTGTGGCTTCAAAGCCAATGGTAAAAAATTGTCATCCTGACCACAAGGCTCGCCATACCCAATTAAAGACTATTTTTATGGCTCTTGTTTGTTAAAATGATTTCAGTTAACCTGGCGAGAAGAGGCTGAGGGGGTAAAAAAAGTTCTAATATTAGCATATTTGCTACTGGGGCTTCAGGATCACCCATCCTTTTCATGCAATTACTTTATTCACCCCATCTACACAGTCCGGACTCGTTCCTGACGATCTTTAACCTATTATTCTGAATTGGCCTTTCCATTTTCCGTTGGGTCTTTTGAGGGTGATCTGCCTCTAACCGTGCGTATTTTAATTTCACTGTAAAAAACGTCATTGTAATGCAATCAGTTCTGGTCTCCTCCGGTCCAGTATTTTATACGGAATTGCGTGTAGGGTAAAAAAAAAGAGCGTAAAATTCCAGCAAATAATTCCACATAAGTGTTTTCTTTACACCGACCTAACTCTTTCTCTCCACATTTTGCTTGGCAACCTCTGCGCAAAATATATCATGGATACCACGCAAGATCGACCATTGGTTGGCTACGATTGCTAATAGAAAAGAATTAACATTAAAACAGTGGCGTAAATTTGTGCCAGAAATTGGGGTAGGGTTGAGGGGTGGGAAATTGTAGGGGGGGGGTGACTTACCCGCCTTGGAAATTTTGAAAAGCGGGGGAGGGGGGCTGACACCATAATTTATGACTCTGTATAGGGAGCAATGTTCGTGACATGTACGCAATCATGCATAATCTTACATCAGAACGGCATATTTATGTGTTTAGGTGATATGGAGAAAATTTGTTGTTGGGAAGTCCAAAAAATTCTTCACAATCCGCATTAATTTTTCTAACCGCGAAGGGGCGGGGGTGATTCAACAGCCTACCCCCCCCAGTTAAAAAGCGGGGGATATATAATCCATCTCCCGGGATTTACACCCGTGTATTCAAACTTCCTAACATTCCTTAGCCGAAAAAGGGTCACAAAATATCGCTTGAGTGGAAATATGAAATTTAAAGGTGAATGGACATCCAGGTGATATTATATATGTAAAAACAATGGGTCTTTAAAAGTTCCTTAAAACCTGCCGTGGATCCTCGAATGTGGTTATCTTCAAAACACTTGCTACGGCCGTTGTGCGGAGAGGGTCCATTAACATTGTAAGGGGTGTGAAACGTTATCAAACGAACACGGAATGAAACGGACCGAAACGTATCGTGTACAAGGAAATGCGCATGATCAGCATGCTTTGGTGATTGGTTGCTTTTTTCAGTATGGGACAGAGGACCAGTGAGCAAAAGTTTTCCTGAAATGTTTTCTATGAGTAAATTTAGCATTCACAAGTTGAACAAACAGAAAATTCTTACAAATGGAACGTATCCTAGAATGACATCACCACAGCAACAGCGCTGGATTTTTTTGTCGGCAAAAGCATGACAAAATTATTCATAGTTATTATTAATTTTGTACCGACGTTTGAAGATGAATCGAAAAAATGAAATAATATACGTAATATGCAGTAAAATAAAGTAACACTTAATGCTATTCGTGCATTACCCGAAGATTATATTAGAAACGATGTCATATTCTCGCAAAGAGATATTGTTCTACACAAATTTATGCATCTTGGCCAATCAAACATGCACATTTCATGCACTGAAAAGATCGATGTATTTTAAGTACGAAATTTCGGAGGAAATTTAATTTTATTGGAATTTTTTATATCAGAAGTATGCCTGTCCAATGTTATTTCAGCTGTGTCCGAGCACGATCGGTATTGGATCATATTGAACTGTATCAAAATAACAAGCGGCTTTAAGACCCAAGGAATAACCATTTGCAACTCGCAAGGCGAGATCAGTTATTTCCAACCGCACACAGTCCTACGGTGTATCGTTTAAACAAAAGTTAATTCATGGCAACAGTTAATACCAAGACAAGACAATCACGGATTGCTTACCTACAGGAGGGAATCATCGCAGTATCGGGCCAACAATACGACATAAGAGCTCAACTTGACTCAAACTTGGCCGAACTAGCAACACAACCGAGCCACATTACCACACATTCAACATGACTGTTCCTCCACTCAACATGAACAAATCGTCAACGTGTGTGCTATGGTTACCCAGCCGGCGACCATTAAAGAGAGGAACAAACCCGAAATAGTTTGGACTTCGGATTCAAAGAGTCAACACGCTGGTGCATCGGGTATCACCGCGGGTACGTACAGGTACACTGCCTGCGAGATAACTGTGTTGACTTGCATTAAGGACAAAACGATGCATAACAGAAGGGCATGTCTCGATTGAATTATAGTCGCTCTCATTTTCGACCTTTGTGCCTCTTTCAAGGCTTCATTTTTGTCATAATTTGGGCAATTAGAGGTGTGCCATTTGTACCAATTTAGAAATGTTTACATCACAAAAACAACTGATTGCGCGATGGCTTTCGAACTAGTGCATTTGATTCGCGGAGATCATGGATGTTGATTTCTTTTTTATCGATTCTTTTTATCTCGTACAGTATTAAACCAAACGGATTATATACCGGACAAGTTTCTGAATAAACAAAAATACAGCAATTAGTGTTAAACACGTGAGTGTGTGATTCATGCTTGAGAGATGAGGAGGGTTGGGTGTCGAGATTGATAGGCATAACAGAGGACTGCATGGGGGCTGTGGGGGGGTTGCTGAGCGAGACAGGCGGGGAGTCGATTATATCTAATACAAGATCTTCTGCTACTTAGAGCTTGGACTTGGAATGGGGAGAACCGTCCAGACAAGAACGGAGGAGGTGGATTTTGTAGAGATCTTTGGGAAGGATAGGTAGGCCCAATGTCATCCGCTGTTTAACTATAGAGCAGGGAACAGCGGAGCACGTGGCTCCTAAACAACTCGTCCACGCTCCCCACGCGAGCATTTATCACAAAGACTATAAATAAAGGGAAGAATGTCCAACCAATCCAGAGCCCGCTTATACCCATTACAAACTAATCCTTAAAGAGCCGCTCTTTTAACCATCTCACAGCCCACCCCAAGACACTATTCCCAGGCCATTCTTACTGAAACTTGGCATGCATGTACAGACACTAATTACCAGTACAAAACAGTGACGTTTCGATTATATTGTATATCCAACATAATCCTTTTGTCACTACGGTCATTTCTGACGTTCATGACCTCACGCGTCTGCCCGCGTGCATTGAGCCCATCAACAGGGCAAGAACGATTTTTGGCTAACGTGTCTCAGGAAAATGGGCGCTGTACAAGAGAACGGTATGTCTGATTTTCACTAAATATTATTTACAGAACGATGCTAATTAAGAAAAAACCCTTGAATGCTCCGAGAAATGTCAGGGGGAGGGGACAAATTCCGCCTCAGCTCTTTTAGGGATAAAAATCCTGAGGTCAAGAAACAAGGAGACGAGGAATGGAACGGGGTGGTGTGGCTCCAAAATAGAAGCAAATATAGGACAGCGAGGAGAGACATGGTGGAAAGAAACACAGACACAGTAGTGAGGCATCCAAGACAGGCCTGCTAAATAGAGGCCGACATATCTGCTGATCATTTTTGATTTCGCATACGTTTTTTTATACATTATTTTAAAAAATGAACCAAAATGAAACCCACTTGGAGGTGAATTAAATTCAAATCGAGGAGAAATGTGTGTGTGGGGGGAATCCATTCGGCTCAAAAACTGAGTTGATGTGACCAATATGAAAGTTTCATGTGAAAAAAAATTTGTTCAAACTAGTGAGTCCAAGAGGACTCAAAATCACGTGTTTTCGTCAGCACTGTCACAGAATAAACAAAGGTCAATTATTCTTGATGCACAGAATATTGGGCACATCAACGGTTCAGACAGATGCTGATTTTAAATGTACATTAGGGAACCACTTTGCATTTTCCAAATCTCACGCAATTTGTTTGACCGAATCTTTCTTACTAACAGGAAGCCCTTTTCACAAAGTGGTTTGCAATTAATTGAACTCAATTGAAACACAAGTGAATAATTAACACAACAGTTAGTTAATACGGGCGATTCACAATAGCCTCTAAGAGTTTGCAACGCATTGGCCAATCACCAATGCGTGTTTGGAAAGGGTCGACAGATTTCGTGCTTTGTTACCGGCCAACGTGTCGTAAACTTTTGGAGGCACCCTATTGTAAAAAGGAACAATAATTGTGAATTGCGCCGGGAATGAACGAGAACTACGAGCAATGAGCTAAGAAATGATTACATAAAGCAAACGTTAACAGCTGCGAGTAATATTCATTCTGATCATGCAATTACATTTATATCTAAAACTTGAGTATATACAAGCGAGTCACTTTACACGTGCTAAACAAAGTACATGTATGAGTATACAGTGCATGAAGTCAGAGAACAGTGTTTTGTATCAATACTATAAATACAAATTAATGATCAATCAATAATGTAATCATTAACATTAATCTATCTCTATTGATCAGGTTCATGATTAAACATTCACCTTCCTTGCAACCTCCCCGTGTTATAAAATATAAAATGTTCAAAAAAGTTACATTTAAACAGTGCTTTTAAATAAAAAAGCATTTTTTAATTAGTTGATCATTTATTGGTTTTTCAATCTGCATATCAACCCATCTAGTAAAACGTTCCTACTGTAACATCTTGTGCAATTAAGTCAAATCTCACTTCAAGCTGGTAGCAGGTGCGTAAACTAATCTTATTCCAACTTTTTAACCTCTGATTATGTAATGTCTGTTTTCCAGCAAAACACGTACACCAGAGATTCCTATTACGTGCAACATGACAGTGAAAAGATTTCATGATCAACTACACATAGGGTTGTTTGGTATGGTTTTTATACATAATATTGGATACAATCAGTCAATCGGTGTCACACGGGCGATTCACAATACTGTGCCTCCAGGAGTTTGCTCCGTGTTGGCCAATCACAGTGCTCGAAATCTGTCGACCCTGTGCGCGTCTGGAAATGGTCGACAGGTTTCGCACATTGTGATTGGCCAACACGTTTCAAACTCTTGCAAGTGCACTATTGTGAATCGCCCGTATTCGTCCCCAGTTGAAGTGTAACCCAAATCAGCAAAAGAAAGACAAGTGGTTACATGCGGGTTCTTGCACGCATTCTGCGTGTACGCAAAGACCATACATGCAGAAATAAATTAGTTACGCGTACTCAGCGTGCTCCGCGTCAAACACGCATATACTTGCGTGCCTCGTGGCGCGCCTGTGCAGTGAGAAAAAAAAACGTCCTCTTTTGTTCCGCTCGGAGCGGATTGCCTAATCTTTGTGCAATCTGCCAATTTGATTGCCTGATTTGCTGATAATAGAATAACATTTCCGACATACATGTCAAAAAGGTGTTGTGAGAATACTTTAGGCAATCACATATCAAGAGGACCACTGATGTGCTACTTTTAACACCAGCTTTAAATTTCCATTCTTTTATTTTGCTAATTATGAATGTTAACACGGCTGTGAGCAGAATGATGGTAAATAAATAGTGTTGTTTCATTCATTAGCATTCATAATAAATTAAATGCGACAAGTTGGGGCTACAAGTTTTGTATCAGTGGTCCTTTTGCTATTTCACGAGAACAAATTTTCGCACACTTTGCCCTTCTGTCGCCCTGAAATTACCCAAAGAACCTTAGAATTAAATGCACTATGCCCAGGTCTGACAGTTCTTCAGCTTAAGTTCATCCAAATCTCATCCGCATCACTGATCTTCTTCCCAAACAAATCCCTCTCCAGATCACCCAGCTGTATCAGAAAGGCCCTGTTGGGCCTCGCCTTGGGGCGCTTGCTCTTCAGGAAGGTCATTGCATCGGCAAAGCTCCAGGCGCGGTACTTCATCAGAAAGGACAGAGTGATGGTCGAGCTTCGACTGATCCCTTGCGCACAGTGGATCAAGACGCGGCCTCGCTTGCGGAGAGCCTCGGCTACGAAATCTGCGGCGGCCGGCAGCCGGCGCTTCATGTTTGAGCCGAGCTCATCGGCATACTTCAGTTGCAGGTAGTTGCACTTGCCCTCGAAGACGTTGTCGCACTCGGCCGTGACGTTGACGATGTGGGTGATGCCCAGATCGGTGATGATCTCCAGGCTGTTGGCGTGTTTGGCGTTGCCCTGATACAGGGCTCCCTCAAGGACCTCTGAGGGATAGGTGCGGATTTCGCGACTCCGGTCCCGCTCATTGCGGATCAGCTCCTTGTTGCACAAAAACGGATATGCTGCGTGGAATGCTAGGAATCCCCCGATCAGGATGACAGGGTCGAGCTCTTGTGCCCGTAGCCTCTCTGCCAAGCTTTGTAACACCGGGCTTGTTTCCGTGACGGTGCTGTGATCGTCGTACAGCACAATGTGGGTGAACCTCCTCAGTTTGCCAGCCTCCAACAGACAGTCGTAGTCTGTGTCAATGGCAGTGTGAGGCCTGGCCGTGATGATGTGGGACTCTGTGAATTGGCCGTGCTCTCGCGCATCCAAAATCAGCATGTATTCAGGGCAGTGTATGAACGGCACGAGAAAACCGTCGTTAAAGAGATTGTACAGCGAATAGACGGTTTCAAAGCCCTCCACTTCCTCTTTGACGGGGAGTGCCTGAGGGATAAGAGCGCCCTCTGGTGTCCTGCTGAGTAGAGGGAGGTGAGGGCTGGTAGGCATCTGTTCTTGTTTACTCTCCGCCATGGCAACAGTTGGTTCAGAAGAAAGATGATTCTCAACAGAAATATCCTTCCTGCTCTCTTTCTGGAATGCAACAATTGAACAAAATGGTACTTAAAAACTAAATCATGCAATTTTTAAACATGTAACAATGCCGAGAGTGAAATGCTGCACTAAATCCAACAATATCAACACTCTGATCCATACTTGACACTTTTTTGAGTAATACCACATAACGAACAATCACTTCATGCTGGCAACATTTTTTACAGAAAGCTTTGTACAATGGACTGTTCAATGTGACTCTATCAGCAACCCAAAGTGTCCTCAGTAAGCTACATTAGATTATAGTCTTCGCATATTCAAACAATCTATATTCGTGTGGAAATGCCTGTGTAATGGTTCCGTTTCTCAGGTCTCCAGATTGTAATTAACCTCTTTGGGCAAATGCAAATGATTTACCAAGAGTTAGCAGATGCTGATACTTGAATCATGAGCACCGAAATGAGGTTCACATGAGAAAAAAAAACAGCGTGCATACCACAGAGAAAAGGGGGGTATTGATGTTCGGCCCGAACAATGACAGCATGTGAATATGAACGGGTGAGGAATGTGCCATCTTTCAAATCCGTTTAACGTGGGAAGTACTTACCACGTTGTTCTTCTCCTTGTCGAGTTCACTGTGCTGGACCTCTGATGTCCCCTTCTTGGTGCTAGCTGATCCCATAGCCTAACGGTGGTTGCATCACCTGATGGGGGGTGGGAACGCAGGGATCGAAAAGCAATGATTTGCATTGCAATCATGACCTTGCGATTATTCACTGAAAGGAAAAGAACTAGCAGGATCTTAGGCAGGGGTGTAAATGGGGTGCATTTTGCAGGAGAACATGGGGGCCCTCTAGGGGGCACTCTATGTGTTGAGTTACAGTGAAAACAATGACCAAGGAAGACTACCACCTGAGTTGTTTCCATCTCTAATATCTGAGGGGGGGGAACAGGGGCACGGGCCTTGAGCAGGGGGCCTGAGAAGCCCCATGGGTGTCGCCAAGGGAGGGCTAAAACGGTGCTTTTGTCCCAACATGGAGGCTCCACACAAGGGGCTAATCGGTTGGACTGGAACCCAAGAACTCACAATAAAACGTCTAAAGAAACCTGAAAACCAAACAGCACCGTCTTTGAGGCAAGATGGTGAGACCACACACACGTGGATGGATATCTCTTCCCTGTTTGAGAATCCATCTTGTGTACAGATTTTAATGACACCCTGGTCAAAGCTCTGCCCTTCAAATCCTCTTACAGCGCCATCTATTTGTTTGTATTAACACAGTTTGGCAACCAGCGATGAATGACGAACTCAGATATCGGTCAGAAAAGTCATCCACATACACTCTTGCATACACAAACTCACCTCTCTTGCAATGCCGCAGCAGAGTGCACAACGAAGCTTATTACAACCAGACTTAACTCACTGTAGATACCTTGATTGAATAGCCATGTCAAGTGCACTCAAACAGGTTGTAGCCACCCAAGAGTACTTGTACATGTCCACGACTCTTTTGAAGCCATGTGTGACACGATGTGTTCTGGTGTAGACCATCAGGCTCTCGGAGACTTACACAGCACGTATGCATGTACACGCACGCCCACACCTCCCACATACATCCCCTCCCCTCTGACCCCCACGCTTGTTTGTGGACACGGATTAGCCGGGCCGTTTACACTTGGGCTGTGTAGGCCTATTGAGCTTTGGAGACTGAGTCAATAGTTACCGCCTACAGACTTTGTTGCTGAGAACACAGCTATTCAGTGTCCAAGGGGTATATTAATGTGATGTCACACATTTGTGAACATGTGATTTACAGAAATTATATTGATATATACATGCAAATGGGTGTCAACCTCAGTAAGGTTGAGGGTTCTGGTTAGCTATCTCGTGGGTGTGGGTGTGTGTGGGGGAGATTCCGCTGTCCCCCGTGGGTGGCATAAATTAACAAGGGTTTTTGAAAGTTGGATAGAGAGGAGGGACAGGAAAGTTTTGCACACATTAACTGAAAAAAGTATTGTTTTTGCAACTTTCATTTCTTTCACTGTTTATTTCTATCACTGTTGAATTTGATACGTGTACAGTATCAAAAATTTCAAACTTCCGTGCATGCGACCTTCGAACCCCACTGTTCTGGGGGGTAAATGGGTCCCCTGGCTTTGGTGACAATGCAAGTGGATGCAACCAGAACACTGTACTGTACATGCAGGGTTCACGGGAAAACTCCTAATGTTTTGGTTATGCCAGATAAATGCTGATATTGATATCATGACATTTATACAATACTTATCTTGATAAAATTCTGTTGATGCAAACATAAATAATAAGAAGTTCAGCCTTTTTAGAGTATGCAAATACGGACCATATTTGGCTATTTACATGATTTATGTATGTAAATAGTTGTTTCAGTTCGGTTCAGTTTACTTTATTTTCCACATAATATTATTCCGTAGAAACAGTTTCACAAAGTGTATATATGTGGATAGGGGGCCCCCAAGAAGCAGTGCTTGTCGAGATCGAGTGGGGGTTGCCAGTAACGAATAAACAAAGTTCCACAAGACAACAGCACGCTAACACTTTACAAACAACACAACAAATATTAGATACAGCACATGAACATGCCCATGTAGCCTTTGCTTGCTCAACCCTGTGAGAAAGAAGTTAATCATTTACTTTATATTTGTGTTTGAATGCTGAGAGACTACATGCACATTTCAATGAAAAATCTCTCAAATTACTTACTAACGCAATTAACGATGCTGAGTTTAAATGTTGGGGTCCATTTTGTTGCATGACTCCTTTTCCTAGTAATATAGGCCTAGTAGTAGTAGGCCTATGATATTAAACCTCTAAAACTTCTTTACCGTCAAGATTAGGCATCCTACCTAGGGCTTACTCATCCGTTAACAGATCATGAATCAGTCATCTGCCAAACGAAAAAAGGTTTGAGGCAGGAAATTCGGATTTCAAATACGAAGAGTGACAAAGTTTGGGCTGCTCTTTCCCTACAACTTACAAGACCAAGCCCCGGTCAAGACGATCATCCCAACCAACATGTCCAACAATAATGCCCAAGACTGTTCCACACTTCCACGGACGGACCACGACAGAGAAAAACAGAACTATTCTTTATATCTATTCTATTATGCTATTCTTTTTATCATACCGTAATTTCCTTATTCCTGTGGCAAATGGATTCTAAAGTAGAACGCAGAGCAGTTGCCAGCATCATGGAAACATCAGGTCCGTCACGACACTTGGTGGTTGACGTGTTTTGTTTTTTGTACCGCGCAGCGGCCCAGCACCGGCCGTAAGAAAATAAACAGCGCCCTCTTTCATCTTCGCCTAAAATGGCCGGCCTTGCAATGCAAAAGCTTCGCTGGCACAAACAGAATACACGAACACATGCATAAAACGGGCTCCTCCTAGACCTTGGCATGAAAGTTACGGGGCGGGGCGGGGCGTGGCGCGGGGGATCAGTCTCCCTTGGGGAAAAACACGGACGATCGAAAAAGAAAGTAACGCAAGGAAAATGGGGCCCCAACATCACTAGTCCTCATGAAAAAGCCTCCAAACTGACCACCGTGACCCCAACCTTGGTAGGGAGGGCCGGTGGAAATCAACATTTTCAAGTTGAAGCAGCAGGATGCAATGCTCAGTATTGATAATAAATTTACAAATTTGTATCAATGTAGAGCAAATTTGTAAAACAAATTTATTTGCATAATTCTTTCTACAGCAGGAGACACTGTCCATAAAAAGACTGGCTGTGGGTTCAAAATGTTTATTAAACTTAAACACAGTCAGTCCCAGCTTCACTTTTTGGATGATGCTTCGATAATTTTTAAAGGTGAACTGTATAATTTTGCCACTTGTTTATCATTCATAACACGATAATTTGCAATAACTTTCTGAAATCCGAATACTACTTAAACTCACATCAAGCTCTAAGCATGTTTCAATTGTGATAAAAATATGTATTTTAATACATAAACTAAATAAAACATAGAATGAGATGAAGTGATCATCACTGATAATTTCATATAATTTCAGAATAGCAGTTAATAGGTTTACGCATAATTTTCTACAATAAAAAGGGGTAGCATCCTAGAAATGATCGAAAAGTTTCAACTCTACATCATGTGTATATAAAAATACAGACTGCAATGAAGAGGTGAAAACAAAATGGCGTCATCAAAACATACGTGGCATCTTACAATCAACAAAAATACACAGATTTGAAAACCAAACTTCAAGTGTTTGCAACTTTACTTACAACTGTTGAAAAAAGGCTCAAAAAGTGGAAAAGGTGGCAATGTTGAAATAAAACAATTCGTGTCTTTTACTTTTGGACGAGTTCAACCAAAAAAATAAACGCATACACAGCCATTTGCAAAAGTTCAGGACCACCCGTACAAATTTACATTAACCCAAAGAGAGTCCAAACTTAAATTAATTAATAGCAGCAACTTATGTTTATTTTCTATGTGTAACCTTAGTATCTTGCTTGAACAGCTGTTTGACTACATTTCCAGGATTTGAAATCCTAAGTCTATTTCGTGTACCCTCTATTTCTGATGGACTTAGGCTGACTTTTTTTTACCCATGCTGCATTGAAGAAAAAATGTCATACAAGATCTGCCTTTCAAAAAATTTCATTCAAATGGGCTCACAGCATGACTCTGATGTTATCACCGCCGTAAAGAACATATTATGTAAACATTTAATGAGACAATACCGGTGACAGAAATACCAATGAAATCCCAGTAGGTCTTAAACTTTTGCAAATGACTGTCGCTCGTATCAAACAGAAATGTAAATACCCAAATACAAAATCAAGCGTGAAAGGAGGATCTTCTGAAATAAAATCTGAAATAACATGAATATTTTGCCTTTATGGGTTTTTAAAAGTCGAAATTTCATATTCAAGATTCTGACAAGCCCGAGAAAGACCTGTACATGTATTTTGATTTAATGAATCAATAATCCATTGATATGTTACGTAACAATTTCAAGAAAACATTCTGAAGAAAAATACCCACAGGGCATTTTTCAATAGACTCATACTTAAATTAAGTCTACAAAGCCAATTCTTAGCACTGAATTGTGCACATAAATATTCATAATTTTAATCCTTGAATATAAAAAATCATGTCAGAGGATGCATTCTGAATCAGAGTCGCTAATATTATTTCTAAATTTGGCCTCCGCTGAATTGATAAAAAGGAACGACTGAGTGACTGCTCTGCTGTAAGCAACTATGAAAAAGACTACATGTATTAGTAATTCCACAGAGAAATAAAACAAAATGAACGGATAGTTAAAAAATAAAAACCACACATAATTCTAACAGACACCTTCCATTTTTCCAGCTGAAACTGTCTTGCTCTTGTCCAAAATACATGTCTCTAAATACTCAGGCCTCGACACTAGCGGTTGTTGGATTGCCCCGGGACAGGTAACTTATTCTTTACAGCAAGTTAAACTTTAGGACAAGCTACTCGATGGACAGGTATTTTCTCCCTTAACACTGCAGTTTTTCATGGTCAAGAAAAGCAGTCGGGAAATTTACTTCTGACTTTTGTTCCTCTCCACACGCTAAAAGAATGCTATGAGTATGATTTTTTAGTCGCAACGTAATACGTGCAACTTGCATCAAGCCTCTATGAATCTACAGGGCCGGTATGTCATGCACATGTACAATGTGTATGTACGATGCCTACCTCATCCCTAATTGTGACTAGCAGTGCACCCCCACAGTTGTTACTACTGGATTCTACGCTAGAAATAAAGTAACCACTGGGGATGAGGTTGGTATGCATGTTAACATTTAGCAAGGCACTCTCCTACAATTGGTAAAATGCATACAAAAATGAATTGCAAAATACCCGTGTCTGGGTACCAAATTCGTTTACTCATACAACTTTCAGCAAATGCACTGCCCACGCAGTTAGACGGAGCCCAGTGTTAGGCTCTACTTATGGTTACAGGCCTGTGGATAGGGCACGGATCACCTGGGCAAGTACAATGACACATCAGACAAGCAAGTTTTCAATGCTGCTGGTTTGATGGACGAGCGCCAAAAAGAAATTTATGTCGAGGCCTGCACTTTCTCACAACTCTGGGTGTAGGGGTATTCACACTAAATAGCTTCTTGTTTAATAATCTTCCGGTTACAACTTTTTCTTTTCTGTCCAATGCAACACGATATCCAGTGCCAATAAACCGAAGGCATGTACCACGTATCAGTGAGCAGACACATTGAATGTTCAGCCCTCCTCTGGTGCTAAACCTTAGATCTCTCCCTTGGCAACTTGGAGGGTATTTTTCATCAGCATGGCAACAGTCATTGGTCCCACGCCACCGGGCACAGGTGTGATATGACCAACTTTGTCAAACACTCCTGGAGACGAAAACGTTGACAACAATCTTCAATGTCCTGATTTCTAGAAATATGCAAGTTTGCTTAGTACGGCCCTTGAAAATGCACCTTTATAGCTCAAGTAGCCGAATTTCCAGTTTTTGTTTTGCTATTCTAGAGGATATTTTGGTGCCTTTTTGGTATTTCTGCAAATGAGTATTTCCGTATTCATGCCAAAACTGTGATTTCATCCCAGGCAGAAAAACCTTTCAGGGCTCTTCTTTGGCCGAGTGTCTTTTTACAGTGACAACACATAGCTGCTTGGAGAAAAAAAACGAACAATTTTCATGAAGTTTCTGTCACTTTTCTCTACTCAGACTGCGCAAAAGAAAGTCAGAGCAATGAAAAACGAACTGTCCATTTGAGTGTAGGACGGTCAGTATTGAGTCAAATATTTGAACCAGCAAATACCATTCAGCCGATTATCAAACATTCGGTATATTTGAGACAGCACTTGAATATCCTACTCACCCTCATAGTCCACGTCCCCGACCAGCCTAAACTTCCCAGTCTTGGGGTCCTGGATCCGATTGATGCCCACGTCGAAGATGGCTGCACCTTCCTTGACCATGTCGGCTGTGATCATTTTGGGGCGGCCAGCTGCCGCCACGATGATGTCCGCATTGGTCATGTAGTAGCGCATCATCTCCGGGGAGGTCTTGCTGTGGCAGATGGTGACGTTACAATTCAGACCCATCTTGAGGGCTGAAACAAGAGGAAACAAGGAGAAGATATGGAGGGCGGCGAGCCCAGCTATGCAAGAGGTGATGCAGATTACAGAGTTAAATTCTTTCCAACCTGACAGAAACTTGACTACAAACTCTTTCGTGCTTTAAAGACACACTCAAAACTTCCTCAAATTCATTTGTTATAGCATGTGAAAAGTATTGGGATATAGACACGTGCCAGTTCATATCATTATGGGAATCTTTCGCATTGGAAATCACCCAAGAATTTGGTGTTGGTCTACGAGCGCAGCTATCCATATGGAATCAAGCTCACTTTTTGAATTACAAACGGAAGTGAGAAGCAGCTGATTTTAAAAAAAAAAAGATCACACAGAACTAACTTCCAATTGTTTACTAACTGCTGGGTAATATCTTGCATTATCTTACTGTTCCTCTTGTCGGCAGCGAGTAACAGGGCAAGCGGGAGACCAACGTTCTTGGACCTGCCCATCACAACCGCATTCTTCCCCACTGTCTCCACACCTTGAGGTTCACAGACACGACATGAATGTGAAATTTACATAAGCATCGTCAAAAGATACCTCATAGTGTATCAGAGTAAACAGAGGGGCATTTCAAATGTCCCGGAATTACATATTTCACGGTAACAAAATGAGCACAACTTCTTTTTAGAGCCATTAAAACCACGTTTAACTCTCATCGGTACTGGTTCAAAAATTGAAACTTTGGTCTCTTACTGAGTCATCAATCAGTGCCATGGACAGTACATGCTAGTGGAAAGATTTGAGAACTGCTCTGTTGGCTTTCTGATGAATGTATATGTGTCACTAGGACTCTTTCGGGAGGGGGGGGTTGGCACAAAGCCCTCAACTCAAATAAACCACTGATGCTAGAAAGGAGTCATTTCAGCGTTATTTCAAGCAATTTGGTGATTTTCGTCCTCTTGCCTCATTTGTTTGCTCTTTGTCTTCCTGCTTTATTTTTCCCCTTCGGAGGGGGGGTAGGGTAGGGGTGAGGTGGGGGAGAACCCCCAGTGTACGGATCATTTGCGCTGATGCCACAAACTTTCGGAGAATTCACCTTATTGATGTCAGTCTGCAATCAGACAATACGCACTATCGGCTGCAGCTGTGGCTATTCAGACTGGAGTGCTAGCCCCACTAGATACCCGATATGAACACAATCTGACAAGGATGGCAGGCTGCAAAGGACTTTGGGAGATGTTAACTAAGTGCCAAAGATTTACAAACAAAAACGACTACACGTATCTTTCCACGTCAGACAGGTGCAGAAAGTACCCTCACTAAAACTCTGATCAATGATGTGCCTCATACTTGAATGATAACACTTTCAATCCAATGAATACTTCATAATAGCTATCCACTAACCCTAAACCCCAGGGACCATTGAAATCCTGCATGACCTTGTTGGGTTCAGTATGGTTAGGGTTAATACACTACATCCACGACTGTCTTATCTGACTAAGGTACTGATTTAGCGAATCCCCAATTTGCTGATCGCTGATTCCGCAAACCCTCTATAAACTGATTCACTTGTCCACTGATTTATGGCATGACTGATTTCTGAGCCACTGCCGGTGAATGCAATTTTACAAGTCCAGTAATTCTGACTCCCTGATGGACTGATGCCTTACATCCATGAGTGCTGAGTACCTGATCTCTTGATGAGCTCCCACACACCATAAGGTGTGGCCGGCAGCAGCGTTGGCAAGTCCAGCACCAGCCTGCCGACGTTCACCATGTTGAACCCGTCCACATCTTTGTTTGGGGAGACGGCGTCACAGACTTTCCTCTTGTCCATGTGCGGGGGGACAGGTAACTGCACCAGGATGCCGTCGACAGTGTCCGACTTGTTGAGGTCATCGACGAGGGAGAGCAGGGCAGCTTCTGTCATGGTGTCAGGTTCACGGATGGTTTCTGAGGTGATACCTGTGTCCAGACAAGACAAGGGGGGTTGAAAGTTACTCTCAATGTAATTGGGTCGGACTCTCTTGTGACGTGGAAATGGAGGCTTCAGAGTTTATGCATTTATGCATGGTTCCCATCTCAGGTGTATGTTTTTTTTAACATGACACCATAAAGATTCAAGACATCAGAAAATACAAGACCTTTTAATCTTTTTTTAATAGATCTTGTGTGTAATGCATCCACATTGGTCATAAATGCTTGATTTTAAGGAGAAAAATTTGGACAGTTAGATTCATGAAACAGTGATGCATATTTTCTGACGTTCATAACGTATATAACTATGACATGGTATGAACATTGAACAATGTGTAAATGTACTTTCATCTTGAACAGATAAGTACTTCAAAAAACATGTAATAGTCATTCATTCTTTCTTATTTATCACCACTGGGTTATCTGCACATCAGCATGTGCAACTGGTATCTTTGGCATAGTTTTGAGTCACTACTGGGTCCTACCATGCAAAATAACGGTCAGAAATTGGACTGGTACCCCTCAGTCAACAAGATTCAGTGCCGAGCCACAGAACTTAAAAGGCTCCACAAAGTTCTCACCACACTCTTCGGCGGCTTTCATCTTGTTCCTGACGTAGACAGCACTGGCTGGGTCTTCACCTACCAAGACGGCCGTCAGATGAGGGGGCCGGTGGCCCTCTGCTACCCACGCCTTCACCTCCTCAGCTACCTCGGCCTGCACCACCTTGGAAATCTTCTTTCCATCGATGATCTCTGCATTGCTGAACAAACAAATCAATTTTTTTCTGTTTAGCATCTAACACATCAAAACTCAGAAACACTGTCAATTCCTGCAGCTGCAACAGTTCTAACACAGAGCCTTCTTCTTGGGATGACAGTAAACTTTCAGAGGCGGATCTAGAGGGGGTGGGGGGGCTTGCAATCCCCGTTCAGCTGCAGACTATCTGCAACTACCAGTGAAATGACAGAAAATGAGTAGGCCTACCAACAAGGACTGTACCGCCCATCTATCCATCTATAAACAACCTACATTGATTTCCAGTGGATCCCCTTAGCAGGGCATCACTTCAGTATGCCCATCAACCCCCTCCCCGCTCCTGAAAGCTAGATCCGTCCCTGACTTTTGTCCATGTAAATGTAAATTCATCAGCATTTAACATGCAAGCATGACAAAGTGGGCCTATCAGATAAGGTGGCAGAATAAAACTTGATAATGAGGTTAAAATGTGGAAGAGGTCGATTTCATAATAATAAAGGCTTACTTTAACGTTTACATATATAACAAATCAATTTCATAAGCCTTATCGCAAATACTGCATGGGTGATTTTGCACGATAGAAAGGCATTGTGGGAAGGAAAAAGGGGCAATGCTTGCTCCTTTTTCCTTCCCACAATGCCTTTCTACCATTGTGTAAAATCATGCATGCTGTATATTTGTGATTAAGGGTTATACTAATGATCAAAAGAGCACTGACAGACTGACACCCTGTGCACAGACCCCACAGGTCTGGAGGTAGGGCCTACAATGTCACAAAACCTATGAGACATGTGAGATTGACGTGAAAGATCGCTTTCTACGTAAGCAAATGCTACCCCCAGAACTGTGGGGTCCGACGTCTGCCCCGTTCGTATGGGGCGGACATCAGATCCCACAATTGTCATTGTAGGCAAATGCTTTGACATTTTCACTACTAAATTTGACATTGGGACAACGAACCCCACAGTTCTAGAATTCAGGCTAGCCTAACGCTGGACATTGTAAGTACTGCTTCCCTACTTCTACCCGTACCCCCAGAAGTTGGGGTTTCGTCGTCCGCCGCGCGCTGTGCTCCCACGATCGTTCGGGGACCGGGGGGCGTGGGAGCGTGGCCTGACGGCGGACGACCATGGAGCTATTGCTCATGGGACGCGTCGACAAACCCCCACAGTTAACTTCTGGCATATGTCTGAGAGGAGGCCTACTCTAGACAGTTCTAGGCCATTCTTTCGCGTTTTTTCTGTCAAACTTACTTCAAAGCTGTCCTGTGGAACGCTAAGGCCCTCAGAGATGGAAGTGCATTCTTATTTGAGAGGAATGATCGCAAACATGCTCTAAACGCCGACATGTTTGACACGTACATGGACACGTCCCACCAGAGTTCGGTGCTATAGCCGGTGATGGACTAGATTTTAGCCAAGGCTACCAGGCTCCCAAAAGCGTCTTTCTGAAATTGATGGTAACACACGTGTCTGGGGAGATTAAAATACAGCCGCTAGCAAACGGCTAGCTGCATGTACATGTACCAGTACTATTGCCGGCCGTAGCCAAGACACAGCCACGTAGCCGGCCTTGCGCGCGATCGCCGGCCAGATCCTAGACTTGCCACAAGTCGTGCGCCTCGCTTTTTGTAGCGTACCCGTGTTTTTCTCCCCTTGCAGGGTAATAAGAAAGTTTTTTTGAGGGATTAATTGTGACGAACTGTCTTCTGCTTTAACTTGATAAGCTCAGCTTCGCCCAATGGAGACGGCTGGCAAAGGGGAATATCGCGAGGTCTGGTAACGCACGCCATCACTCGTCGATTTCAGTGTCGGATAGGCTTTTCCTGCGGCAAGAAAATTAGCACAGGCCTGAGACATCGAGTTTGCTTTTATACTTTTTTTGACAGCATAAACTTAAGCAGATGTCTAATTTTCGTCCATAATATTCATATTCCCTTTTAATTTTTAGGTGGCAGAAAGGAACTCGGATAAGCATAACAGTTTTTGTTTTCAACGTTCCCGTTCAGTCGGCTTTCCAGATTGAAAACAAAATCAGAACAGCTGAAACTTTGAACCTTCAAAAATGGTCAGTTTGTTTTTCTACTATTCTCGTTTTATACAACACATACATGTGCATGTTAGGTCAATTAAAAAATCCTACCGGTAATCACCCGTGCTTATATTTCTGTTGCCCGACCCAATTTCTTTCATTTTAGCTGAATTCTGATCTTTCGTTTATACAAAGTTTCTAGCTACACATGCTCGCGTAAAACCTGTATAACGCATACACGGAAAAATCAAATTTGTTGGCTTTTCGCAAGGGTGAGCATTTCGCAATGGTGTCGGCCCTTTGTATGTCAAAATAATATAAGACATTACTGGGAAAACTCCTCAAGACTCAGGACCAAACAAAATTATTGCCACAAAATCGGAGAAAATGTCGAGGGGGTAGGCAGACTTTCAAGTAATCAACAAAGTACACTGGCATTTACTCTCGGTAATCTTCAATCTATTTCAAATTCATAATCATAATTTCAATTTGATATGGCTTGAGTGGGTATCTTCATCTTTATGTATTAAAGTAGGCCAAGTAATAACTTTTAGCGTCTGGGTTTCGGGGGACAAGGGGCAAGGCTTTTTACTTTGAAGACTTGCCACCATTCCTTTTAAAAATTTCGATCTCCAAAAATGAAAGAGACGTGTTAGACAAGAAATTGAAGATAATTCAATCTATCTCAAGTGGTTTATACCGTTTGTTGTTAGTCTGTAGGACTGTATCACAAGACGTAAATATACAACCACTTCCATTGATGCGGGTGCAATTTACAGCAAAACCAAGGACATGTATTTGGTCGCAGCCGTGTGAAAACATGTTGGGAGGTCAAAATGAACAATCGCACAATGTGGAAACTGACCAACTGCATCAAGACGGAAATTCTGACTAGCAGGTTTTCTATTTTTGATTGACCAGTCAACTTACTTGCATTCTCTGTCCTCATTTTCCCTCTGGTAAAATAAACAATAAATCGCTGTGACCCTCAAAAACGAAGTGGGCAATGATGCCCAACACGAACCTGTTTTGTTTCTTTACCTTTTTTCATCATGTAAATAGCATAGAGGAGTTCAACAAAACTAAAGACCAGACTTTATTGGAATTATGATAAACACCGTTATTGGTTGACTGGCAAAACAAAGAATAATAATGTTACATCCCAATAATGGCATCAGTCCAAACTGTACTTGGGACACCCCGAACTGTAATGTTGTAATTGGGCTGGTTATTCATTCATGAATAAACTAACACAAGGTTCTGTTTGCATGGATCTACATAAACCAAATGACACTGACACATGCCATTGCACATACTGGTATTCTATGCTATACTTTGGCAGGAATTCCTGGGACTGACTGTCCTATATAGTTGGGGCGAAATGATATGTATTTATAAGTGGAAACAACAAAATATATAGTAGCTGGCCCTTCATAAGGACCCCTTTCTCTTTAGCACAATTACACCTTTAATAATCCACATTATCACAGCCCAGTACCTAATTTGTCAGGTTTCTGGGGATCTCTTCAGACCAAACCAAAAAAAAAAATGCATTTGCTGCTACACTGAAAAAACAAACAAACAATAGAATTGGCAAGTGGATAAAATCTTTGGATGTTTTCAGCCAAAAATATTAGGGTTACCAGTGTCAGTAATTTTCTCTCCACTTTGAACAAAGAGTAAATGACACTGCCATATTTAACACTGTTCATATTTAAATAACACTAAAAGCACTCGCTGAGTCATTAAAGAATGTCACAATTTTGAAGGGACAAGTTTGCAGAAGCACACCTGAACAAAACACTTTTTCATTCTGACCAGCTTTCAGAGACAAAACAAAAGCTACAAAAATACGGCATAACGTACACAAACTCTTTGCTCTGAAGTTGGCACCATAAAGTGTAATCTTTATAATCATTTTTAACACAAAGATACATAGGTTCTGCATGATTTTCTAGGTTAGGATTCGGGTAAATGGAAGCATTTAATTTGGGGATTGGCCTTGTAATGAGAGGAGGAGATTCCTCCTCAAAGAAACCCTCCCTGACAATTCTAGCCAAGGGTCTGCTGTCCGTTTCAGTCGGGCTGACCACTCCCCCCTAATGCCTCTAGTAGTGACTTGACTGTGGAGGCCGGTTGGAACGTTTGAGGTCCCCCACTGTTTGGTGTAGTGAGTGGGGGGGCGACTGTGGGCGCCGTGCTGTTGGGGTTCTCATGTTGGAAAACATAGATGTCCGTCGTGATGCACTGAAAGATGACGACTGTCCCGACCAGGATGAGGAACCACCATTTTGTCGGATCCTAGAGATGCCAAAACTCAGTGGTTACAAGTAGATACAAAAATTTCAGGAGATAGGGGATGGGAGTGTATCTCTGTGCAAATAATGAATGTTTAGGAGCGCAATGGTAAAAACGATTTTCATGAGGTGACAGAGCGAATGTCCCATTCCATGAGGTGATGCCAATTGGAATGGAATATTCAATTTGTCACCAAATAATTCTCTCCACTGGAAGAGGGTGAAACTGTCATTATGTCTTTCACACAATGCCTCGATAAATCCTCTTTAACTACACGTCGCTGTTTTGTTTTCTCAGCTCAGTGTGAAAGCATGACACAAGTTTTCATCCTCCAAACTATGGATGAAATTTTGCCTGTTTGTGTGAAGAGCCACAACTGCACAGAACATCGCAGTGAATAACTGGAGGCAGTGTAATTAAAAGTAGCACTCCTTTATAAAATAAGTTCACATTAACGTATCATTTTGCCACATGAAGCTGCCTCAATTGATGAGACTACAAAAAAAGTCAACACTACAATTTTAAGGGCTCAATACCTCAATATAATACCTCAACACAGAGTAACATTTCAAAATTCCTGAAATGAATTGCAACCAGTGTTGTGGCCAAGGAGGGTGCAAAGTGACCGATTTTGACAGAATGCAGATCTTAAAGCAAAAGGGGGTGACAAAAAAAAAACTGGGTCGTTGATAGAGCAAAACCTGGATAGTGAGAACAGGTTGAATAGGACAACAATTCTATTTTCAAAAGGTCAAGAAAACCCTGCCTAGGGGCCTGCATGCACGTATAAAGTAGCAAGAGGGAGGCATTTAGTTTACATACCAAATCTCCAGTCTTGTACCAGAAGCACTGTAACAAAATACCAAACAAAAATGTCACCATTTTAAATGTAATTAAAGCTGAATTTAATTTCCCCTTTTCAAATGACAATAACTGACAATGACAAATGACAATGACCATTATAAAGCACAATACGTGCTTTATAATGGTTGATTTTCTATAAATTTTTCTTTTATGTAATACTTTAGACAGCCAATACAGAATCTTTTTCAAATCTACCTCTCGTATACCACCATGAACAAAAATAGCAAGAGTAAAGTCTAATACATTAAGGCCATTGAAACATCAAGTCCATAACACTTATACAGGCATCTGACAACTAAAATGAACAAGAGGCAACACAGTACATATATGGCAACACTTTTACACCTTTTTACAGAAGAAATTAATTAATTTGTAAAAAATACTGGAAGACTTACTGAGAACAAGATGATAATGGCACTTATGAGGATGTTGATGGCCATGAGATAATAGGTGAAATCAACATGCCCTCGGATGAAACAAAAGATCACTGACAGCTGTGGAACAGAAATCAGTGTAAATACAATGTAAAGGTTAGACCTCATCACTACAACCTTCAACTGCACATGATAAGTTAAAAGACATTTCTGAAACTAAGAGGACAAAACAGATGACAATAACACACGTGCATTATTTTCCGAGTTGTCACTGAGTCTGTCAGAAGTTGTCACAAGTCAGTCACACGTCATTCAGTCCTGGGTCACCTCATGAGCTGTTTGCATGAATTGTGACAAAGGAATGCCTTTGGCATTGTTCATCTCTTTAGTTCTAATGTGATTTGTCAACTGACTTGCGAGCTGACCTGTAGACTGACATGTGGCTGACACCATTCCAGCTCTGATTATGTTATAGAGATTTGATTTATATATTGAGCTAGTAAATTGTCCTTTAAAAACTTTTCCAACTTCAACAAAAAAGTAAAAACAAACAAAACACTAACTAAACCCCACAAAAAAACCCCAAAAACAAAGCAACCTCCAAGAACAAACAAAAAACGCAAGCAAAGCCAAACAGAACCATTAACCCTAACCCCCAGGGTGTATGTAAAATCGTTAAAATTGGAGGATTTGGGAGTGTTAGGGTAAAATAAAAAAGTCTGATTGTCAATTAAGTTAAAAATACAACAAGGACAACAATCGAGGAATGGCTCTCCTGGATATTAGAATACATGTAAATATAAACATTGTAATTCAATAAAAAAATCTGTCTCCTTACCACAATCATGAAAGCAGTGAGACCAACAAACGCCTTGGTAACCAAAACCTAGATTAAATAAGAAAATGAAGGACTGGGTTTTAAGTTCAAGAATTCACGACCAGCAATGAACAGGGTGTATTACAAACCCAATACCCAAATAAAAAAAGACTTGGAAAAATAGGTGTACAGTGTACTTAGCTTGAGTTGAGTAACCTAACCATGCGTAACTCAAGCCCCTACACTCATAACAGCTGGAAATTTGCAGATATCTCCATCTCTGGGGATAAGTGTACTCAAGCACAGAACAAGATGACTCAAGCTAGCCAGAAGAAATTCCAAAAATATCTCAACATCTTGAATGCTAATTTGACTTTTTAGGACATTCTATTGCTCTCAGACTGCTAATAGATTGCTGCATGGAACAATCAGTGGCATTCGTGTATGGAATTCTTTTGTGCTAGCCTAATTGATGTCATGAGAATGAGCATTGCTTTGGCATGTTTCTCAGTTTCTGTTACTAAGAAAATACTAGGCTTGAGTTTAGACCTTAGGTGCCGCCTTACATGTAGGCAATGTTAGGCCGCGTCGGACAAATGACGGAAGCCCTTGGCTACGGCTTGAAATTGCACGACTCTACGGGATCTGGCTGTAGCCAGTCTGTAGACTCCAGTCCTTTTCGGACACGGCCTTAATTGTTACGCCCCAACTATACCATAGTGTCTGTCCCAACTATAGTTGGGACAGTCCCAACTATTGTGCTGCTGTTGGGCTGGCCCAACTATTGTTGACCAATCTTGGTAAAAATTTCACAACCTTCCCCCGAGTATGCAGCTCACAGCCTCACACCTGACATAATTCAATTAAAATATGGCACTTCAAAGTCTTCATGAAAATTCATTTCTGCAAGCATGAGTTGCTGATGAAAACAAAATGAATGGCATGCACAGCCTATGCTGCAGTTGGGTCCCAACCAAAGTTATTATGCCAGTCCACTGATGCTGTAGTCGTGGTACTAACAGCCTCAACATCATGAACATGATGAACGTGCTCAAGCTCCGGAGGCTACTTGCATGACAAGTACTAGCATGACTAGGATCCCCTCTTTCCTCCATATAGGCCTAGTACTAGTACTAGTGCTAGGCTACAACTTTTACAAGTACTATAGCCTAGCCTAGTGGTTTTCCTTGCTGAGCTAGGATATGTGTTTCCCCTCCACAGACGCTGTAGCTCACCTTTTGTGGAGCTACTTCGTGATACAGTGCCCCACTCAAAGGGACAGAACCGTCTTTCCCCGATTCGTCATCCATGTTAACTGGTTAATCTTCCTGCAAAATGTTCATGTTCCAGCAGAGCACACTAATCTATCTAAACATGTCACATGCAATGTATACATAGTACATGTACACGTATTAGTACCGGCCAGCGTAATATGAACCTCGTCCCCATGAGTCACTTTAATTGTTTCCATGTGCACAATGTAATAGGGTAGTTATCAACAGAAACAAGCATTGACAGTACACCTGGTGCACGCTGATACTTTGAGAGCAAGGTTGATAGGTACCTTGTCAGGATCACGTGCGTAAAAGTTTACAGGTCAACGCCGTAGTAGATGGCTTTATTTTGCGTGGGGGCTTGCATGCCGCGAGAAATCATCTAAAAAACATTTTATAAATCAAATAACTATTCCAGACAAACTGCAAGAATATTTTTTGCCATTTATTTGAAAACGGAAACACACTGAAAGAAAAGTAAAGGAATTTTTTCTCTAAACACCATTTACCAACAATACTGGTGCCTCGCATTAAATGGATTCTTCTCCAAAGGTCATTTTCCTCACTTTTGTTTTAGTCTGGTCCACTGTCAATTTCATTATAAACTCAGTTAATATGTTCGAGGTACCAGATTTTGTCATTGACTTGTAGGTAAGTGCTTACCGTTCACTTTGCCACTGAAAATCTTGCGTCAAAGACTCGAAACCTCACATTTCAAATAAAAAACACATTTCAGCAACGTTATCAAGGTATTTTTACGTTGTATTTTCAAGCAATATATCGAAAGGTTTGTTTTTAAACCCAGATGTCTTGTCAAGTTACCCTCGTAGTAGGCCTACCACTGATCTCTACTAGACTGACAGTATTGGCAGAGATCAGTGAGTAGTACCAGCTTGCATAGTCCAGACCCGTAAACAGGGCCCAACGACTATTCGTTGGGCCCTGTTTACGGGTCTACAGCCTGCATGGCCAGGCATGCCAGGGGCCGGGCAGGGCGCAAGGCACCGTGACCACAGAGAGGCTAATAAATTTTTGAATTATTTTTATGTGTTTTATTTTTGATGTTATCTTGAAGAGGATGCGGTAAGAAACATTTTGATATAACTTTGGATTCCATCAGCCTCTGCAAAGCAAAGAAAAATCGATTTGAATGGGGATGTTTTGAGATTTTTTTTGTCATGTTTGTACACGTGTTACTGAGTGAGTGTAGAGCAAACTGTGGTTAAATTGTACACAAAAATGAGTGTGGATTTTAACTGAAAAGCTTAAAATTTATGTTTTCGTAAAATCTTTGTTCTTATCTGTGCCTTATTTCAATGAATCTAATGCTGCTTTACTTCAAATTTCAAAAATTTTGAAATTGGAAATTAAGTACAGGAGCTACAGCGTGCAGAAAAAGATGAAGTTTAATCACAGTTTCCTATTCAAGAAAATGAGTTTCCAAATAAACAGCACCCTCGCTCATTTATTCATGGCCCTAAGTCCAGGCCTAATCCGAGTAGCTTGGACCCAACTGTCTCTGACTTTCGCCCGACAATGTCCAAATGTCAAAAAAAGGTGATTTGTAGGGTCTAAGTTACTCGGAATAGACCAGGCCTAGGTACTCCGTATGCAAGTTGCATGTTCCGTACTTTAGTTTGAATGGGTTCGTAACGCTATGGCATTTTGAATGCTACCCTGTTATGTCCCTCCGTTTCTTGACAAAACTGCACTTTCTCAGTCAAATCTTTCGCCAAAATGCTGTCAAAACTTAAATCATGTCTGTTTAAATCGCATGCTCTGTGCCATGGTTTTTGGACCGTCATCTGGTCATGACCATGTAACCAACTATTTTTGGCAAAATTCAGAGCTGAAGTTTTACCTACCATCTGGCCTCTCTTCACACAATGATCCGCACATCTGCACACTGTGGCTGTTCACGCGATGCATTACACACTGCACATGCGCAACGTCACAAACATCCAGTATCAGCTCGTAAAATTGTGTCCTTAGCAGAAGAGTGAAACTGGGCCCAGATGGTTGGTTTGCCACTCTCCATTTGTGGCTGTTTTGCCATTTAGAACTTACATGATGTACTGATGTACTTACTAGGCCCAGATGGTTGGTTTGCCACACTCCATTTGTGGCTGTTTTGCCATTTAGAACTTACATGATGTACTGATGTACTTACTGGGCCCAGATGGTTGGTTTGCCACACTCCATTTGTGGCTGTTTGGCCATTCAAAACTTACATGATGTTTCAGACCCATTCAACCCAAGTGTTCTAACCACTTTGCGCCAGGGGACACGGTATCGGGGACCTTATGTTTGTACGCATAGCCGGGGAGCCCGAAATTGGACAAAGGAGCCGGGTCTTGTACATAAGACCACACTCTGAACAAAAGACCGAGCCGCTTGGACTTGAAGAACATTTTTCAGTTGTCAAAAGCGGAGGTAATCTGTCCTTTTTTGAAACACTATTACAACCATGGACGAAAGCTTTCCAGCACTCCAACACAATACCGCTGCACGCTTATCTTGCCCCATTGAAAAAGACGCCAGCACTGCACAATGTGGGCTCTCTTTACAAGGCAGCAGGCCTGGCTGAAATACATGGGCGTCAATAGATGTTGCCTGGCACATTAGAGTAGCCACCAAACAGTCATTCGTGTGGGTGTAAATGTCGAGTTAATAAAGTAATGCATTTTTGAAGAATTTGAAAACGGAAAGTCATGAAAAACGTCCGTATTTGTGCGTGGCCATTTTAATTGAACCTGGCACGAAGTGGTTAAAGGGAGGAAATAACTGCGTTGATTTGATGACTGCGAAATATTTTTTTTTTATTTCGAAAATTAATATTTGATAATTGATTGGATGTTCATATCTTCTGCACTGCCTTGCGATGTTAAACCACCCGCTGCAGAGTTCGCTACTACAGAAATTTGTCTTTTTATGTCTGAAGTGTATTTCCTTATTCCATTCAGGTCTGAATTTGCAGTGGTCTTCCACTAAACAGCTCACAAGATCCTGTGTGCGCAGTCCATAGCAAGTACTTGGCGTATCACTAAGGGTTGCTAGAACGCATGTTGTGACTACCGTCTGGACGGCTGTGGCGACCAACCCTCCTGATTAAAAGTGAGGCAGTGGAAGTGACCTTGTCTTAAGATGGACGAGAAGACACCGATTTTTGGTGAGCCCCGGGGACAGGAGACTGCCACGTCGTCTTTAGGAGCCCCGTCTCCTGGAGCCGTGTACCATGATTCTACACAGACTCCTCGCTCCGTAAGTGACAGTTGGCCATTTCCGCCAGACAACGACATGTAATAAGTAACAAGACTCTTCTGACGGATTTTGAAAAGCCAATGAGTAATGATAGATTACCACGTACTTTACTATAGTTGTGTACACCTGTATTGTGTCCCTTGTTTTGGGAAGTAACAGGAAAATGTCAAAAACAAACATACATAAGTTTGAAAACAAACTTTTGGTTGTCTTTATTCTGTTTACAATTATCTTGAAAAATAGTCTCATAGGTGGTCAGTGGATTCATTGAATTTCAGTGACTTTTATTGTTAATCTCTCCTTTTCTGCACATCCAGAGGTATCTCATGATTAGTACAGTTGGAGTCATCACTGTCATGGTTCTTGTGAGTAACCTTTGGCATTTTGCTAGACTTTCCTTTACCTTTGAAGTTTTGAGGACTGTCAGCTGTAAACTGCTGTCAGGAAAGAAAATCGGATTGAAGAGCAATTCGAGTTAATTCTAGCATCTTTTTCTTTCAGTTGCTTATTTTCTTTTAATTTTGGGTCATTTCGTGCCCAATCACTTTCACCCAAGTGTCAGAAAAAGGTTGTAAGGTGACCAACTCAAGATTTAAATTAAATTTGATTGTTGCTCAAATGAACAGGGTCAATAAGTCAAGGACACCAAGGACGCTCTTCCCCTTTGCAAATGTGATGTGATCTGGGAAAACCCATCCAATGTTGGCAAACTTGCAAAATATTCCCCCCCCCCAATTTTTTCGACACAGATTTTTCTTACCATTTCAGTTGTTAATTATTCAAATAATTGTTCTTTGATGCAATCTTTCAGTCAGCCAATTTTTGTGAGACTTCAATGAATTTCTTACTCAGAAACCTTGATTTCTCAAAATGAGGTCAGTCAGTTAGTTTTTATAACTTCCTGAGAACATAAGTCAAGTTGCAGAAAACAGAGAATGATGAATCAAACAGTTTTGAAAACAGCATGGTGTCCTTGTTCAGTTGATGTAAATGACATATTTCACCATGTGAAGGGTTTTCGCAGATCACATCATTCACAAATACATTTGTCTTTTTGCTGTAAAACGACCCCTGGACTTTTTAGGTGAACTTGGGCTGGTAACTTAACGTTGGTCTTGCAGTACGATACCAATACAATACAATACAATACAATAAAGGAACCCCTGGTACATGTGTAAGCAAGTGTATTCCATAACTTTTGAAGTAGTACCCTTGTAACAAAACAGCTGGTTTCTAAATCACTTTTGTTACTGTGTTGGTCAGGTAATACAATTCAACCCCTGTTACCCAGTGTCTCATCCAAGTTTTGCTTTTTCAAGGACAGATCCAGGATTTTTTTGGGGGGGTGGAGTTAAGGCCTGTCAGATTTCCTTGTATGTCCGATTGTTGGAAACACCAAGGTAATGCATTGCCGTAATTGCTATATCATTTATTTATTTATTATTTTGGGGGGCAGTGTCGAAGGGGGCACGTTTGAACCCCCCCCACTTTGGGTCCAAGACTCCTGTTACATCTTGTTCATGTGCTTTGCCGACAGATTGCTCTGATTCTGTGCATATATCGCGGTGCCTCGACAGGCAAGCAGGGCTTCCTCTACTTCCTGGTTGGTGCCAGTCTTCTCGGCTTCATTGCGGTAGAGGCATTCATTGTAAGTATATCCAGGGGATAAAAAGTTAAAAGCTGGGCTTCTTCCTCCGATCTCCTCTGAGACTTCCAGAAAAACTGCAAACTGAAATGATTTTCACCCCCTTACTGCTCGTTATTTATAGCACCCCCGTGTAATTTTTTTCCCCCCTCTCCCCACAGTTCCGGTTCTTGCAGTCTGGCGACCTTGCCAAGGAGAAATCGTGGTTCCTGTACTTCATGGGATTTTGCACACTATTGGAGGCTGTCCTTGTTGCCATAATTGTCATGAATTGATCACTGGACTAGAAGAGTTATCAGGTATTGATTGTTACAGGGAACAACTCCTTCCAGAGTAATTTGGAAGAGCGTTCAGATCCACCTCGTCATCTTGTCCATGATGTGACTACGATCATACAGCAGAGTGCTATTAATGAGACGTGCAGCACTGTTGTGACTCCCTTCAGAATTCAGTCATTACTTACGATAGCTCTTTTCCTGACCAGCTTGCAAAACAAATTTAGTTAATATTATCTGAGGCTTGTCTTAATGCAAGACAAGATTTGGATGAAATTTCCGAAACACCTGTACAGATATCCATTATGTATGTTAACTTAACCTTATCTTGAATAGAGGTCACTATAAAGGAGCTGAGCCAATCGGAGGCCAGCATTTAATGTCAAGTTTAATGTTAAGTTAATAATATCTGATCTTGTCTTAATGCAAGACAAGATTTGGATTAACTTCCTGGAAGTTTTGTGAATATTTCCCTGAAAATATGTCATGTTCTTGATCAGTACGTAATGTCAGATTCAGAAGAATGTATGTTGAATGACAGGAGGAGTTGGAGGGGCCATTTGTCAATTTCCAGTGAATTTTAATCCTGTCGGTCTTCAGCAACCTACATGTATGTCTCTCTTGTTACAAAGGCCGTGGTGGTTGGTGTGGTAACTGGTAACAATGAACTGTAGTTGCATGTAACAGTTTTTATGTGTTCTGGGTAAAAGGGAATTTCTACTTAAATCCGTGCTCTTCTTGGGCTTCTTGATTTTCTCGATGGTTATAGCTTCACAAAAGATTCTGGAACAGCTGGGTCACCCACTCACCCATTTCAGTCACTGCTGCCATGCCAGATATGCAAGTGTGCAAAAGTGCTGTAAACAGCCTGTCTCTTCACAGACATGAAGTGACCCCTTTTAATTGTACAGGTAACAGGTTTGTCTAGCTGTACTCAAGTGAACATGGTAATCAATGCAGTGAGGAGAAGGTCATGCTTTGTGATCCTTCGGTACAGCTCCTTGTGCGACGTAACCCATTGGCAGCGTGCAGTCTTGGTGGCATTTTTATGCAGTCAGCTGTGCTTTTGCAGCAAAGCCGTTTTTGAATGAAAGACATTTATTGATAAAAGATGCCCTTTTTTTCAGTACTTCTCCTCCAACACATGCCTTCATTGACAGTCTGACTTTCCTCTGTACATTGTATATATGCTCGTGTTTAACAGTTACTTTTGGGTTTAATCCCAAAATTGGTAACGATATACAGAAGCAGAAGCATGCACCTTTATATACTTGCCAAATGGCAGTTTATTGATTTCATGACTGTTTAATTTCTACTAAAAAGAAGCCACATTTTGATGTTTTTTTGATGGCTTATTTTTGACGATCTGACAGCCGGGCAGGGGTGGATTCCACTCCCTGCCTCCCAAAACTGTACCGTGCCTGATCTTCTTTAAACTTAGCACGCATGTGAAGACACTCATAATAAGTGCCCATGTGAAGTTTCAATTTCATCTAATGTACAGTTTTGGAATGCACGGCCTCAGTGTGTCGGCCTGCGTGAATTGAGTATGCCAATAAGAGTTACGGGCCAATTTGCCTCAGAGAGTGGGCATTTTGCGAGAACGATACAATCTGATATTCACAAAAATGGTGTCAGAATGACTGCATGATGTCACTGGAAAAACTGCCGTAGGCTTGGCACCGGAAAAAAAAACAAGCACCATGACAATATTGCAGAAAATGTCGGGGACGGTCTCCGACTCGAGTTCTTTTATAGAGTGAATTTTGAATACATTGAGATTCTATAATAATGATAATACTGATCTCAAAATATGGAGGGCCTGACATTTCGATCCCGGCAGAATCTTTCTCAAAGGCAAAATGACAAGTGGGCAGGACAAACAAGCAAACAGAGAATCAACCAAGCATGGGTGAATGCAGGAGGACAAAAGGAAAGTTCAAGAAAGCTGCAGGCTGGATAAAGGGGCAAGGTGTAAATAAAGGGGACTGCATGAAAGGCATGGTTGAACAACAAAGGAATGTAAGGCGGCAGTAATAATAATAATTTTTAAAATGCTTTCCATGTCACAGAAATCACAAAGTGTTGTACAATGAAAATCCACAGGTTGTGTAAAAATACAGATAAAAACTGTCGTAAAACAAGCCAAATGACATTAAAAGTAACTATTAAGTGATTAAAAGGAATGGTTAAAAAACTAAGTCTAGAGACCCCATCTAGGGGACGTTTTAAGAACATCTACAGAAACACCGGTAAGAGTTCCACATGCGGACATCACTAATTTTTCCTTGCTGTGGTTTTATTAGCCACTGTGAAGTGATAACGTCCTTACAATTCAAATTTAGAAGGAAAAATATTGGAGCATAGAGAGAAGTCTCATGTAGCAAGTGACGTCCGGGTATGGAACTCTTTTAAAACCACCTCATCTCCAATTATATGAGGTAATTGCTCTAATAATTCTATTTCATTTCTTCTTGCCTCTGAGAGTTTCAAGTACTTTCACTTTTTTTTCCGGTACATCTCAGTCTGTTGGTTGGTTCTGTTTTGTTCCTTTCTTGTCTTTCTTGAATAATCTGTTGTTAGTTTTGTTTCTTAAGTTTTTGCGTTAATTAATAAGGCAATTCTGTACAGTACTTTGTCCTTTGAATATGCCTCTGTATTTGTCCCCTTTTCGTTTTTGTATGTCTTATTGACAAATCCGATCAGGCGTCATAACCAAAGATCGTGTAGCGCCGCGAAGCGGCGCAAGATGGCGAACTTCACAGTGAATACACGTATAAACGTTGTAATCACCATGGGCGCCATTTGAGCAAGCGATACGCCTGCGCAATGCATATTAATGCAAAGGCGCAGGCGCCACGGCAGGCACGTGCACTTGGCGAGCCTGCGCCTAAGCATTACCGTAAACTGCGCAGGCGTATCGCTTGCTCAAATGGCACACATGGTAATTATACTGGGCAGAGTTATCCATCTTGCGCCTTCGGCGCTATACGATCTTTGGTCATAACTGCGGTGGCACCGCACTCACACGCACATTCTTCAGCTTGACGCCTGCGTGCATTTGGCAAATCCCGACACCCTAATTGGTCAAACAGGTACGTAACGCGCGCGTACCACCTGCCCACGAGCGTTGTGCCACCGCAGTAATGGCTTCTAATTTTGGTGGTCGAATTACACTATAGAACTACCTTTCTTGAATTTTATCAAACATCTTTCACTTATCCATCATCTGTATGAAATTTCTTAAAATTACATGCTGCAATATGAAAATAAATATTGACAGGAAAAAATGGCAGATTTTTATAAGCGATTCACACTCTGTAAGTTACAGTGTATATCTAAGCTTAAATTGACTATTAGATTCGGGATAGCAGATGACTCGAGCAGATCGCGAAATTGCAAAACGTACATGTTTTTACTTGGTTACTCGTAAATCACCAATTTATTTCAATTTGGGAAACTGGCGTGTAAAATGTTTGCGATTTTAAAGCATGTTTTCTTTATTCCGTTGCTCAGAAACCTTGTGTAAGATTCATTGGTCTGTTATTACAAGGAACAGCATGAAAAATCAAGACAGCATGCTGCATATATAATGCTATTTTTAACATCAATTGTAATTTGGTAATACATGTATAAAAAGTGAAGTCGCTGATACCGATCGTCAGTCGATTAAAATCAAACTTTCTTCAAATATCACCAAGACTGATTGTAGAATGTTGTCTAGTGAGATGTCACACTCTTTGGCAAGGCAGATTTTCATTGCTAAGATAATGGAGCTAGAGCCGATCACCCGAGCTTTGTTTGTATATGCCATTTTGAATGGCATTGAGATGGAACACGATCCATCGAGGCCTATTGCAAAGCGCATAATATGTAAACAACCCGTGACATTTTCCAAGGATGGATTTATCCATCGAATTATGACTTCAAATTATGCTGTAGACCCACTGAAACGGCATGCACAAACCTTGATTTATATGTTGATGAGTCACCGTGAAATAATGACATCGATTTCATCGATTTATCTAGAAACATTGGCGCTATCAACGAGCTTAAGTTGTAAATCCCTAAATAGGTGTGTATTTTTTTTATAAACTATACAGTACATTAATTCTGTCATATAGGAAGTATGTAAACTTTTCTCACGAGTCAACCGCTAGACTTTTACTAAAAAAGGCTTTGTGTAAACGAATTATCAATCATGTTTTCAATGACTTGCTTTTTTTTAATAAGATGCTTGAGATGAACGATATGTTTACTATGCGTGTACTTCAGACTTTGAAACAGTGGTGATTTTGCACGAGTTGTACCCAACAACGCGGTACTACAATCGAAGACAAGTCCCCAAAATAAAATAAAAAATCCAATATATTATACGCATTGTCATCTATATCAGGCTGATGATATAATCCAAGCAACATTTATTTCATCATCAAATCTTTGTGATTTGGCATGGAAATTTTCAACTCAGTTTGTTGCAGAACTGTTTCGGCCACGAGGTTACCCCCCAGGGCAGAGTTGTAACGAGTCAATTTTTTTGTGACCGAAGTCGAGTACTTGTAATTTAACATTGTGAGACTCGAGTCGACTGGCTCGAGTTATCACAGCTCTGCTGGTCGTGTAAACATGAACGGGTTCCCATAAACTCAGCCGGCTTTCCTCTAAAAGAAATCGCCCAACCAATGATGAAACGGTTCTGGGTTAGCACTTCACGCTGCGCAATCATAACGTGGGAGTAACGACACATACTTTAGCGTACCAACGGTCGGCCGCCACAAAAATCGTATTCGCGACATGTGTGACGTGAACACTATTGTAAAACGGCATGGTAAATCATTTTAAATATTTTTTTCGTAAAAAGTCTGCTTTTATTTTGGGGACCCGAGTCTTATTACTTTTCACTCGAATCGAGTCTTCTGATGAGGGACTCCACTCGAGTCGAGTCATTTGGCTCACCGTGACTCGAGGTACCTAAGCCTTCATTTACCAGTTGTGACTCGACTGGAGTCGCAAAACTTTTGACTCGAGTCGAGTCATTGACTCGAGCCATTACAACTCTGCCCAAGCATGCTGTGTCAAAAGAGCCTCAAGACCAGCCCGAATAAATCTAGAACCCATGGGCTGAAGGTAGTTCGCGATCTTTTATAGTTACATTCTCAAGTAAGATTTGAAGCTTTGCATGGTGGGAGTGTTAAACAAAAAGGGTTTCCGTCACAACACCGTTCCCCAAGACATCGGCTTGAAGCTCAGTGACATCTGGCGTCCCCTATATACTCTCTCCAGCACACCAACCCCCCCCCCCCGGGAAG